CTCTAAAAAAAATAAATAAATAAAAAAGAAATCCATACTTTGTTAAACCAGGACTTAGTACCTATAACAAAAATCTCTCAAAAAAAAAAAAAGGCTCTTTTCTCTATCTGCACCAAAGTCATACCTTTCATATTGTCTTGTGCTGTCACATTTCCAGATGTCCCAGAGGTGATATAAAGGGCTGTGAGAAAGTCTGAATGGCTGTCATTCTCAGCCACATTATTCCAGCCTTTTGCAGTCAGGATATGAATGAAATGAGCCTCTAGTGCTGGCTTCCTTGTTGGAGAGGGTAACTTCCCAGGTGAGGCGATGAATTGTGGCCATTGTTCCAGAGAGAGGCATTGAGGCATTTCAGTGTTTCTACTAGAGCTTGTTTTGTGAAACCCTGTTGTTTTTACCAGATGCAAGTGGTTCATCTTGGAGATTTAAATGCATGCTGTGGAACTGATGTTTCGCCGAGCTCTCGGTGTCAACATCTCTGAAATACTGATGACAGACACATTTTCACTTTGATGAGAAAAAATTCTTTTCACTTTCTATGACCAGTTAAAAGAAGATGGACGCACACAGTTCTGCCAGAGTCAATGCGAGGAAGAGGAGGAAAGAAGCACCCGGACCCAACGGGGCCACGGAGGAAGATGGGATTCCTTCAAAGGTGCAGCGCTGTGCTGTGGTAAGGAAGGAAGAGGTTTTGCTGTTGAACGCTTACCCTGGCAGGGGGAGGGTAGAAACTAATACGTCGATGACGTCTGTGTCACAAGTCTTCTCAAATAATGCAAAGAATGGATAGTAAATGTGAACTCTAAGTATATTTTCACAATTGCTGGGAATCTTGTGCCGTCTCACCAGATTATGACTCATAGCTCAGTTGTAGAAGCTTTACGTTGGAGAATGCTAGGAAAATTTGGGAGCTGTGTGTGAATTAGACCAAAGAGCAAATCCAGATGAATGCAATAGAGAACCTGGGGCTTCAGGTAGTGATGCAGTCTTATTCCATGACGTCTAGTGTCTGTCTTACTGTCTTTTCTCCCTGTTTCATATCCTCCACTCTATTACTGTTTATATCTCAGATGAGAACTTTTCCTGTTACTGCTCATCGTATGCTCATTATCTCTGGGATGGGACAGTGTTTTTGTGCTTTCTAACTACTGCCTTGCCTTGGATGAAAGTCCCCACTCCAAACTACCTGTCCCGTCTCAGCTTGGTACCCTTCTAAAGCTTCCCCTAAAAAAAAAAAAAACATGTCAAAGAACACTTAAGCACAATTGAAGTTCCTTACTGTTGGTGTACCAGTAGTATTATAAAACCCATGTTCCAAAATCCCAGTGACAGACTCAAATTTTTTTTTTTAAAGCATGTTTCTTTAAAGTTTATTTCTTCCATGAGTAAGACAGACAGAATTCTCAACTGGGTCTTGATGCTGCAGTCCACCTCCAGCTTCAGCCAACACTGAATCATGGGCAAGCACTTGCCCAGCACACTCAGGGTGGTCTCCAGACTTGAACTAGGAACCTTCCCATGCGGGTTGCCTCACAGAGCATTGAGTTTGACCATTGTGCCACTGTCTGGTCTCTGTTCCTGTGTTCCTTTACCTATTTTGACCACTAACCATTGATCAAATGCCAGTGTAAACTGGTTAGTTCTAAACCTCCTAGCCCAAAGCAGAACAGCATTCTACTCTGAGGCAACTAACAGTTGTTCCAAACCAATACTGTTTAGAGCAATGAAGGTGTGTAGACTTCACAAATAGGAGGCATGTGGCTCCAGGCTTGATATTGATGATTTGGTAGAGGCGGGTATGTTAATTTCTTCTTTCTTTTTTTTTTTTGGTAAGATTTTTTACCATTAGGCACATGAGCTTGCTGGAGAGAAGCATAGAGACAGTGAGAGGGAAAGTGAGAAACCACCCGCTGGGGGAATGGCCATGCTACAGTGCCTTCTTCATTCTCCTCCTGGGGTATTGAGCATGCACACATGCCCAGAGTGATTCTCAAGCTACCAGGACTCAAAGTGTGGTGGCTCACATGGGAGTTCAGCTCTGTAATCACTATGCCACCTGCTGGCCCCAGTATGTAATTTTCTATTGCTGCTATAATAAATTACCTCAGAGTTGGTAGGTTAAAATAGCCCAGATATATTCTGTTTGGGAGATCAGAAGTTTGAAATGTGTCTCAGGAGGCTAAAATCAAGGTGCTGGGTAGGGTTAGAGATTCTAGGAGAGAAAACTGTTTCCTTTTCTTTTCCATCTTCAAGAGGCTGCCTATATTGCTTAGCTCATGGTGCCAGTCGGTTACGTTACTCCGACAGCTGCTTCTGGTACCACATCTCCGCCTCTTAATTTGGCTCCGCTACCTTCACTTTTCACTTACAAGGACTCCTGATTGCACTGGGCATGCCTGAATAAACCAGAATAGCCTTCCTGCTTCAAAATCCTTCATTTAATCATATCTGCAAAGCCAATTTTGCCATGTAGCATCGCCACAGGTTCCAGGGAATAGAATGTGGACATCTTTAGGGGGAATCCATTATTCTGTATATTGTCAAGTAAGCTGAGAGGACTCAGCAGTCAACATTGTTAATTTCTCTATGTTTTTTAGAGAATTCAAAGAGATGGTGGTGAGAAGCTATTTTAGCAATATCACTCAGAGGAGGGAAAATTTATAACCACATAGTGGACACACTCAGTCAGTAACCATAACAGAAAATAGAGCAAAGGAGGCCAACCTTTTCATCAGAATGAACTCTGACCAGGCTTGAATATCTTGGTTCTTAGAATCTGAGGAATATCAATGCTTTGAATTACTTTGTTTTAAATATTCATGTAAAATCAGTTCAGTGATTTGCTGCTATTCCACATTCCCTTCTTGTACACACTGGCTATTTTGCATGGGCTAATGGTCACCTATCAGACTGGACCAAACTCTGAGAACGAGTGCCTGCTAAATAAACTTGTCTGTCATTTCCACTGTACACCTGTACTTTTAATCTCAGAATCCTCTTTGTTTAAAAATTTCTCAGAAACTTTCTTTGTTGAAAATTTTTTAAAAAAATAATATGCTGTAGTGTGTGTTTGCTCACCAGAGACAGAGACAGATAGACAAAGAAAGTGAAAAAGCATCCCCCCAGAGAGGATGACCACACCACAATGCCTTATCCTCCATTCTCCTTTAGAGGTTCTGAGCACACAAGCACATGTGCCCAGTGTATTTTTCAAGCCACTGGGTCTGGGACTTGAACCACATAGTCAGCTATGTGTATCCAGCTGCCTTCACCATCATGCCGCCTAGCTGGCCCATTTTCTTTTCTCATAACAGTTTTATTAAGATATAATTGACAGATTGCATATAATCTACTCATTTACACTATACAGTTTGGCTTTTAGTATATTCACAGAGTTGTGCTACCATCACTACAGCTGATTTTTAAATATTTTTATCACCTCAAAAAGACCCTGTACCTAATAGCAATTATGCCCCATTTTCCCCCAAACTCCCCAGCCTCTGGAAACCACTAATATATTTTCTTGTCTCTATGGACTTGCCTATTCTAGACATTACATAAAAATGGCATCATAAAATTTGTGGTCTTTTGTGGCTGGCTGGCTTTCACTGAGCATATTTTCAAGATTCTTCCATGTTCTGGGGACCAGTGGGTGGTGTGGTGGTTAAGGTGCTGGACGCTCCCACATGACTGACCACGGTTCGAGTCCTGGACCTGGTGGCTAGCTTTCTCACCACCTCTCTCTCTCTCTCTTTTGTCAAATTAAAATAAATGAATGAATAAATAAAGTTAAGTAAATAATTCTTTAAAAATATTCTTTCATGTTTAGCATGTATCAGTACTTCATTTATTTTTATTACCAAATAATATTCTATTGTATATTGCATATTATATTTTATTTTATTTCATTATTTTTATACCAATAATAAAGGATATTTTAATATTGGAAAACATTGTACTTTTACACAGAAATTTTACAATATAAAAATAATAGGGTTGACCTTATTGTCTAGTGGTTAAGGGAGCTGGATCCTACATGGCCAACCACAGTCTTAATCCTGGCCCCAGTGGCTTGAAAAACATTCCAGGTATGTGCATGTGTATGTTCCAAATCATAACAGGGTGGAGAAATAGGGAAGGGATTACAGCATGACCACATCCTATTGGGAGTGGCTTTCTCTTTCTCTGTCCGTCTCTGGAGAGTACATGCACCCTCTGGCAATTAAAAGAAAAAAATATATATATATAACATCAATAGATCCTTGATTTTAAAAAAATGACATTTAAAAGTCACATTTTGGGACCAGCAGTTAGCATAATGGCTATGTTGCTGAACTCCCATGTAGTCGACTGCGGTTCGAGTCCCGGACCCGGCAACTTAAACTCACGTTGGGTGCATGTGCATGCATGCCCAAGATCCCGAGAGGAGAATGGAGGAGAAGGGATTGTGGTGTGGCCATACCCCCTGGGGGGGGGGGATTTCTCACTTTCTGTCTCCCTCTCTCTCTCTGTCTTTCTGGCGAGCGCACCCGCCGTATAGCAAAAACCTCTCCAACAACAAAACAAACAAACAAACAAAAAGTCACATTTTAAGGGTGGATGACAGTTTCTTTTCTTCTCTAGGGGTTGGAGACCATATTGCCAGAGTCTATCAAAATATGAAATACACTGTCTTGTGGCCAGGGACCAAATTCCAAATTGTCCAAAGTGTAGGAACACTTAAACATCTGTAGAGAAGGCCATGTGCTCAGAGGTAATCACTAAAACATTGTTTACATACAGTTTGGCTTTTAGTATATTCACAGATTTAGTATTTAGTATATTATCAAAGTCTTCATGGAATAAAGATATGATGGATTAAAAAGCCCGTTGGAGACTGGTATTGGTCCATTTAAAAAGACAGTTATGGGCTAAGATACACTATCATTTGTATGATATTCTACATTATTTTTTCACTGATAGTAATTTCTGAACCTGTCTCTTCCAAGTAATTAATAGTTTGAGGCCACATACACAGATTCAAACATTATAAAACAAGTGAGAGTAAGTTTCCCTTTTCTTTCTTTTTTTTTTTGGAGAGGTTTTTGCTATAGGGCTTGTGCGCTCGCCAGCCAGCCAGAGAGAGACAGAGAGATAGAAAGCGAGAAATCACCCCCCAGGGGGGATGGCCACGCCACAATCCCTTCTCCTTCATTCTCCTCTCGGGATCTTGGGCACGCACGCACACGCGCCCGGCGTGAGTTTTAAGCCACCGGGTCCGGGACGCGAACCGCGGGTGACTACGTGGGAGTCCAGCGACATAGCCATTACGCTAACTGCTGGTTCCCAAGTTTCCCTTTTCAACCTAATTTTCTAGTTATTCCTGTACATTAATAAAACACATATATGTACAGTTTATTTAATGGTCTGCAGGGGGCATCCAGATAGGGCCCCTCACCATTCCCTGCTGCCCTAAGTCATTGACACCATGGGGATTACTCCCCTCACCAGCACTTGTCTGGTATGAAGTCCTTCCCGTAATGATCTCCCCAGTGGAGCCATGTCACAAGTTCCATGCTGCATGGTGAGATGGGATCTCTCGTGAAATGGGAGCAGGGTGAGGGAAGGTCATGAGTGAGTGTGAGCAAGTATCTTAAGCAGGCTACTTGCAAGTCAGAGATTAGTATAGCATTT